GCCGTGCGCCCCCCACCTTGTTTGTAATTTGTGAGTACCCTTGGGACGAGTTGTGGCTGCGGCCAAGTTGTGGATGAGAGCGCCTGGTAGGTAGGCGGGCCCGCCATATATACTCGCCGTACACCCCGCACTTTGTTTTTAATTTGTGGATACCCTTGGGACGAGTTGTGGCTGAGGTCCCAGTTGTGGATGAGGGCGCCTGGAGGGTAGGTGGGCCCGCGGAACATACTCGTTGCACGCCCGCGGCCGTACCCAGTGAGTGGGTGACCCTGGGATGAGTTGTGGCTGAGAGCGCCTGGAGGTTAGGCAATCCATTCAAAAGCTGCTCTTCGTGTTTGGGGCTCCCTGGGCCCCATTGCGTTCGTTTTTACGCATCCGGGGCCTTCCGGTTCGTTACGGACTATGTGCAGAGCATGTTCTTACCTTCTGGTTACACCCTGAAGGCTTTGGATTTCATATTACCCGAAAATTGGTGTACTATAGTCGGGTCGGATTAAGCTGACTCTGGCCGCCGGGTTTGTGGCCACAATTTTGTGGCCACAAGTAGGGACGTAGCGCGGCCGCGGTGTACGAATCGAAATAAAACAAAACGGAACCAGCAGTTGAGTACGAACCGCCAAGAGTGTGAGAAGTACAGGATTCGGGTAGGGTAGGGTAAAGACCCCCCTCCCCTGGGAGAGAGGGAGCCGAGGGGAAGGGGAGGGGGGAGGTTAAACAAGGAATCCTTGACAAGGGTAGATCGTATCGTGTCTTGCGAGTTTGTCTTGCGAGTTTGCCACCCGCCCGCACGCAAGAATCAGGTGGTACAGAATAAACTAGATGAAAGGGCCTAGCAGAAGGCCGCGCCCGGCCCCGGCATGCTACCCGGCGAACACCACGGCGTTCTACAGTTACTGTGGACGTGCCCCTTTTACACGCTGCCGACGCTGACTCACCGTCATTTGAAAGTTGAGCTGCTGATGATTTGTGACGGTGCGGTCGATCGGCGACGCCGAGCTGGGAACGGGTGAAATCGGAGAAAAACAGTCGCATCAGCCACAGAGGGCCAGCAGCGGGTCAGCTCGAGTCGTCTGTCAGTGTCAGGCGAACACACCTTCTCCCTCGACGAGCGACCTTCGACTGACGCGACGCGACGAGACGAGACAAGCGTCCCGCGCACAGGGCTGCCCAGTGCCTTCTCTGGCTTTGGCCGGCCGGGCGGCCGCTTCCAGGAAGAGAAAGAACGCGACACCCCTCACCCAGCTCTGCTCCGCTCACCCTGCTTATTGCGCAGCACACAGCCACTCTCCTCACTTTCACTGCCCCCTCACCTCTCATCCGCTACCTCACTCCCCCCTCTCTCCCTCTCCGCGACGAATGATTACAGCTTGCTCCGCTTACACACATGAAAGAAGGGTATTAAAGGACGCAAAATACAAAAAAACACCTTTATAATTCACCTCATTGAAACACATGGCATACAGAGAACACTTGCACAAAGAAAAAGGTCGCCAGGAAACCACTTTGTTTACGTTTACATCGAATTTGAAGCTCTCACAAGGGCACGCGGATCCATAGGCAGTCGGTGGCGTGGGTCCTGGAGCATCGGTCGTCAGGGTCGTGGGAGTAAAGGCCCACCTGCGCGCCGGGGGTCGCGAGGTCCCGCAGCTCCTGGCCGTGGCAGCGCAGGACGCAGGCCGACGCGCAGGAGTTGCGCGCGCAGTACGCCTTGACGGGCGCGAACCGGATGTGGAGCGCGGGGTTGGCCGCCATCACGGCCCGGACCGCCTTGCCGTGGATCCAGGCGTGCGCGCACACGCTGCGCAGCGCGCCCAGGTCGACGGTGCGCAGGGCGGGCGCCGTGGCGGGGCGGATGGCGTGCAGGAGCGCGGCGGGCTGCACGTCCAGCTGCAGGTGGCGGAGCGCGCGGAGACGCGGCAGGGCGCTGACGAGCGGGCGCAGCGGGAAGGGCCGCGCCCACGGCTTGATGACGAGCGTCTCCACGCCCGACCTCCCGCACGCGGCCAGCGCCGGCGCCAGGACCACGTCGGCGCCCGCGTCGTCCAGGTCGACGTACACCAGCTCGACCCTGCGGAGGTGGCCGGAGCGGCGGAAGAGCTCCGCGGCGCCCTCGGCGGCGGCCGTCTGCTGCTCGTGGGTCCGGACGACGATCGCGAGCTCCCTCAGCGACTCGCACGCGGCCACGGCCTCGATCCCCGGCAGGCTGTCGCACGACAGCTCGCAGAGGTTCGGCAGGGCCGCCAGCCGCGCCGCCGTGCGCGACTCGAGCGGCCTGGGGTTGGGGATCGGCCTGCCCACCCGCGGGAGCAGGTGCACGGCGCGGAGGGTGGCGGCGTGCCCCGCCAGGATCGAGTCCACGAAGGTCGCCAGATCCGCCCTGAGGTTGCAGCGGAACTCCCGGAGCGACGGCGCCGGCACGCTGTAGCTCACGATGCCCGGCGGCTTGGTGAGGATGCTGAGCGCTAGGCTCTCCAGGCCGCGCATCGCCGCCAGGTTCTCGAGCAGCACGAACACCGTCTCGCTGTCGGCGAACATCTCGGAGAGATCGAGGCGCTGCAGGCGGCCGAGCTGCTCCTGTCGGCGGATCAGCGCCTCGGCCTGGTAGACGCCGCTGTCGTACTGGGCAGATATCTTGAGCTCGGTCACGGCGCACTTGGAGGCCGGGAAGGCCTCGGCGGGGCAGCGGGCGGGCGGCAGGGAGACGCGCAGCACGGCGAGGCACGGCGCCAGGCGCAGCACCGGGCACACGCACTCGCGGCGCGCGTCCCCGAGGCGTCGGTGCCGCCACGCGTCCCGGTGCAGGGCCAGGACGCCGAGCCGCTTGCACACGAGGCGGCAGGCCAGGAGGTCCGGCACGTCCAGGAACTGCATCGCCATCACCAGCACGTCGTCCGGCAGCTGCTCCATGACCTGCAAGCGGGGCGGTCGGGCGTCAAAAACAGTCGAGAGAGTCGAGATGACAGCCCGTGTGAGATGACAGCCTGGCTGAACACTGAGCTGCGGGCTGACCTACCTCTGACGTGGCGCTGAGCACGGCCGTGGAGTCGGCGACCTTGAGATGCGCGGCGCTGTGGGCCGACCTGCTCCTGGGGATGGGTCACGGTCGCGACTGATGGGAGGTCACCGGCACGCTCGCTTGCTTTGGCCGGCTGCGACAACCTTTCCGCTCGACGAGTACCCTTCGACTGTCGGTCGCATGCGCGTGCAGCGTGCAGGGCGCGTCGCTTGGTGGTGTGTGTGTGGTGTGGAGTGGTGAGGTGGTGGGGGGG